ATTTAGTTTATTTACTTACTATAATAGAGGTACGAACTAACTACTACTACTATACTATAATAAATAAATAAATAATATAAATAATATATAAATAATAATAATAATAATAATAATAATAATATATATATATATATATATATATATATATATATATATATATATATATATATATATATATTTAAGGATTAAAAAATTCTGAAACTGAGATTTCAAATGAAAACGACTTACCTATTTTCCACATTTGTAAAAACTACTTGAGTGAGGCCATGACTATATATTAGCAATGCTCTCACAGAAACATCTTTATTATCAGCTAACCCAAGAACAATATGTCTTAGACATTCCTGGCATTTTCGTATAATTTTGTGACTGTTTGTTGTATCTAGCATCTGAAACAAATGATTTACACAAAAACTTTAAACATGAGCTTACTTCAATAACAATTCTTACATGATGCTAACATACCTGATAGTGAAACTACTAAAAACCTGATGTGCTTATTACACATATAATTGTGATACACTAAATATCTGCAATAGAATGTCATAAGGAGCAGGTCTGGCATAAAATTCAGATTCCATAAGTTGTTTTAAAGACCACCCGTTGAATAAATATGACTTCAAAATTTTATTTTCAGGTAGTGCACATAAAAAACAGCACTGAGGACCATAGTATAGAAAATACACTCAAGGAGTAAGCTTTAATGATGAGTCAGTCAAACATATGTCTCATAATAGTCATTAAAAAAACAACATTCAAAATAATTTTAATCTTAAAATAATTCCATTTCAGAAGTACTAAAAATCATTATTTATTGCATGAATTTTTTAACCATAAAAAACAACAACAACAATAGGCATTAGTTAAACAGAGATTCTTTTCCTAGACAAAATTCTCAAAAATAAAATTATTTCATTAACTAGGCATTATAAAAAATTACAAAGAAAAATTGTTGCTTTTATATCTGATGAAAAAATAATCATCAATAAGCTTTAATAATTACAGTATTTTAAATTAAATTTAAAGGTTCTCAAGAATTTCTGCTTTGACTAGTTATTTTAAAATAATTATTGGTGCTTTCACTGGTCATGAAAAAAAAAAGAATGTTACGAATTAAGAAATACAGTATTTTTTAACAATAGAAAGGCCTCAAGCAATACCATTACATAGTCTACTTATCTCAATGTTGTTTATATGAAGCATATGACAGCCTAGCCATTATAAGTGTACTACAAAGCACTTCTCACCATTTATCAACATAAAGCTGTCAAGATGTATTATTACACAGCTTAGCATCCACAAATGATTAAAGAAGCACTGTCACATAGTCTAGTCAAAAATTTGTCAAAAACCAATATTATAACTTGTGACAATATAACATTGTTGAAGGTTTAACTAAATGTATATGGTTGTAGCTTAAAAGTTGACAATAGTGTAGAAACATCTTAAAGTGATGGATGTTTAAAGATAGGAATTAAGTGTTGATTAAAACTTAAGAGAGTAATTTTACAATGATTACTGTTTATTATACAGTTATGATATCGGTACTTAAAGCATAATATATGGTCATATGTAGTACTCGAACTATAACTACATAACAAGGGGAACTTTATAAATATAGTCCCTTGGTGGTACAATAGTAAGCTTTAGGGCTTGTAGCTCTAAAGTTCAATGTTTGATTTCCTGCAGTAAGCAAAGCAGAAAGGAGAGCCCAGTGTGTAGTTTTGTACTTAAAACAAACAAACCATAAATATAATGAAAGAAGTGTACACTATAATGGTATTCTCATCTATACACACACACACACACACACACATGTATAAACCATGAATTTATTAACTCACTACTCATTTACTAATTACTTCAAAATGACGAGTTAACAGTAACTTCACATAAAACAAACTCCAAGCGAAAACTAAAATCCAACTATACCAATAATAGGTAGAGATAATATCTGGCAAAAAAAGAATCAGTACAACTGTAGTTGTGCACATGTGCATGTTTCATTGAGACTAAAAATCTATCAGTGAAGTCTCACTCTATAAATGTTTTTTCACGTGTTTGATGTTGTTAACAAGGGTGTGAAATTAATATTTATGTTAAAAATGGTAACAATATACCCCTTCAATTCGAGCACTAGCTATATGTCAATATGCAGCATGACACCAGACTGTGTAGCTAATGGGCTTATATTTTAAGGTTTCTGTTTGTTTGAAATAGGAACACTCATTAGTTAACTGTTTAGATACTTTAGCTGTTCTCTTATTTCAGAATAAATAAGATTGAGATCTAATTAACTGATGTTACCATAATCAATAAAGTTTAAAACTTTAAATGGTAGCTTTAACATAATAGTCAGTGTAATTTTAGATATTAAGTTATTTAGTCTAGATAATATTACTGCAAAATATTATTCAGCCCACAATTAACAATTAAGCTGTCACAGAACTAAAATATTTTGGACACTCTTGTTTATTTGGATACCATGTGAGCATTATATAATTTCATGTTAAAATGCAGATCTACTGATAGGCTTAAGGTCAGAGCAGAAGTAATTGTTAGGAGTAATTATATCATGTTTGAGACTTTTGGTGTTTCATATCCTGTAAATAAAGTATTCATGTGAAGAAGGGTTTTTAAAACTGATTTACTTTTGTCAGTTTTCTCATACTTACAGACATTGACAAACACTTTGGATTTTAATGTAGCACATGATACATGAGTTTAGATTCTGATTCCTGAAGTTCTGGTGAATCCTCTGGATCTGACCTTTTATTTTTACAACAGTAATACAATATTATCACATAGCCACCACTACATTGCCAAAAAACACAATCATATGTTTGTTATAAACATAATGTTGTCAATAAGTATTGTTAAATATTTAGCCAAAACATATTATTTGGTATTCTGGTCTACTTAGTAAAAAAGCCAAAATTCCTGCAAAATGCAGCTTCAGGGATGTTAAGCAAAGAATAAACTGAATACAGACACTGACTGAAAAGTATAATTTAAGACAAAAATTATTTATTTACTAAAACTGACCATGGTTCTACTTTAGAATAGTGTGGCTGTTTTGGATGAGTAACTCAAGGATACAAGAAAGATCAAGAGACAGACCTATGAGAATACCTCATATAAATACCAAAGTGAAACAAAGAAAGTCAGCTATCTCACAAGTTACATTTTTTAATCCACAGTTCATATACAAACTTGAGAAGAGCAAATATACAGGTTTCTGTATGCCTTTCAAAAAGGCTACTTTTCAAGAAGTCCATAGAGAAACATATACAGGGTAGCTTGAGCTTCAAAAAAAGGTAGCAGTATGTAGCTTTCACCTATATTTTAATCAATCTTTATTTGTACATTTTGATGATTTTAAAGAAAGTAAAAGATGGATAATCACACAAAACAACAAAATCCAGAAATGCACAAATTAAAAGATATTTTGAAACTTCATGTAAACAATATAAAATTGGTGGTGGATTTTCTGATTACTATGTTTTATTCTATGAACTTACCTCCTTTAAAGGAAGTACTAGGTTGGGAATAAATTTTTCTGAAACAAATTGTCCCATAATCTGGTACATATTATAGGTCTTGCTGCTTCTAGCTTCTTTCAACTTTCCTGTAATTTTGGCAACCTCTTTCTCTTCAGCTACATCACCAAACAACTCTCCATTGCAAATCTAAAATTAATAAATGTAAAATGTACTTCAATCAGAGCAATATCATATACATAACTGATCATTAATCCACATCTTGGTTTCCTATACAAAACTGGCTAAAGTATAACTACAAGAAGCTGATCATTAATCTACATAATCCACATCTTAGTTTCCTAAACAAAACTGGCTAAAGTATAACTACAATAAGCTGATCATTAATCTACATAATCCACATCTTGGTTTCCTAAACAAAACTGGCTAAAGTATAAGTACAAGAAGCTGTGGAAGAGGTACCTAAATTAACTATGATAACATTCATTACAACATAACTATTATATTTAATGTACACCTACTTCTCGACATAAGGCAGTCATCTTGATCTTGGTCTAATAGCACTCTACCACATTATATGCGAGACTGCATTAGAGCATGGGTAATCAATTATTATTAATATTTACATTTTTAATGTAATCAAGTAGAATGTTAAGTAATTTATTTAATAAAATGGCTGGTTGTTTAATAACTGTTTTTTTAATGAATTAGAAACAAATCTAAATGTAATCGAAGATTTATGGAGTTTAGGATTAGCATACAGAAAAGGTAAACCTTGGTGAAAGTTTCCGATAAGAATTTTTAGTTTTTAATAAAGTCGTTTAAACAACTTGGCCCCAGTTTTATGTGGATGAACACCTTATAAAGGCATTTGTAGAGTCTGAAAGTTAGTAGTTACAATGGACTTAATGAGTGGGGGTTGGGAATTATACTAGTTAGTTTAGATAACTTGGTCGGGCTTTTATAACTCTATACAAGTATAATTTACATAATGGGGCCTGAAATGTCAACCTTACTTATCCCAAAGTGGTAGTACCTTATCTATTATTTTTTTTTATTAATTTATTTTTTCTTCTTTTACTTTGGAAAGCAGTCACCTTTCCACAACTGTCTGCAGACAGTGAAGGGTGATATAGATGTGGGATGCTGTGGGCCTGTGCTCTCCTAACTTTAATTTCTTTTGATGATTTTTATGAATTTCTTCAAGTGAGACTGGCAAACGAAGGTCAAGACTGATAGACAGTGTATTACCACCACAATGTGGGTCCTACTTCCAAAGTCACCTCCAAAATCCAGGACACATTTTATATACCACATTATAGCCTGTACCCTGGGGATCCTTTTAATTTATGCATCATCTTTAATTTAATTTTTTTTGGGCTTGTTTTTGTTCATTTAAATGTCATTTATTACAGGTTTGGATTTGCTGTTTTTAATGCAGGCCTTTCTTTTGATTTATTTTGCTTGACTACTTGAGTATTAATTTTAGATATATACACACACACACACACATATTGTACATCTATACAACCAGGCCAAAAACAAATATTGGATTTAACAATAAACATTTATATGTATAATACAGTCATGAATGCAAAACTTTTCCAAAGTTAAACTGATTTGGCACACACATTTTCAATTTATTTATATTCTCCATAAAGAAATTTTGGAAATTAACTTACACCAGTAAGTGTACTTAGGCATGAATCCAGATTGCCTGTCTTCAGATGAGGGATGAGGTTTGTGAGAACTGCATTAACAGTGTATGTTAAGACATGAATCTACAAAAAAAAAAGATATTATATTGACAATGAAAATAAACTGAATATAGGTATATTAATACTAAAATGATATATAGTAATTTGCATCACAAACTATTAATGGTAATATGTTTCATTCATATCTGAAAATGAACAAGTATTAATCATTACAATAGGCAGGTGTAATGCTCTGCAATGATCTATCCTCATAATTTTAATAAAGTGGTTTTATCGAGCACAAACATTACCCAAAAAACTTTCACTTTTAACAGTAATCTTTTTTAATCACTGCAAATCACAACAGATACTTAACAAGAGTTAAATAAATTGAACCAGAACTGAGCTTTAAATAATGATATAAGCATAAAGGGCTTTTATTAAATGTTGAATAACTTTTACACATTAAAGTAAGTTAGCAATAAAGTTGTGCAATTTGAATGTAGAGTTTGTATGCTGGAGGAGAAACTGGAGGTTGTTTAAAATAGGATACATGTGGTGGAAAAGGAGAAGGGTAAACAGTGGGAGGTATCAGCAGGACTTAGAAAGGAAATTGAGCTTTTATGTGCAATGAATAAAAGGGCTAGTGATGACTTCAGGGAGATTGGAAGCAGTAATAATACGGCTAGCGGTGACAGATTTAATTATAAAGAGCACACTCTGGTAAAGAACAGATTTCAGCCTTTGACTTATGTATATGATGAACTTGAGTAGGAAAGGATAACAAAAGGGACAGATAGGGATGGGAATGAAAAACATAAGGATGCTATTGTTGAAGGAGATTCTTTAGAATATCAAGTGGATAAGATAGTCTGTGAGTTAAATAGGGAGAAGATTATGCTATCCAGGGGCTGAGATGGAGAATATAACTGATACAGTAAAGGGTGTTAGTAGTGATACATTCTTTGTAGTGTGCATAAGAGCTAATGATGTAGGGAATGGTAGATCAGAGGAGCTAACTGTTTAATACAAAGCACTAATAAAGGCATTCAAAGAAAAGTGCCACAATAACTTAATTCTGTTAGGTATACTGCAAAGACTTAACTGTGGGGATGAAATTAAAAGTAGTTCACTAGGGCTGAATACTAGGCTGAGGTTAATATGTAAGAAAGAACAGGTTGACTGGTTGGATTTATGGTATCAGTTTAATGGGAGAAGGGAGTTTTTTGGAATGGATGGTTAATATTTAAATAGGGTAGTGACTGGCTTATTTGTAAGGGCTATTAACTGTAAGGGCAATTTTAAAACCAAAATTAGACAGTCAAAAGGGCCAGAATAATGACGAAAAATAAGATGTAGATAGGGGGTACAGTGTGAGAACAAAATACAAAGGTAGTTTTAATGGTAGACTAAGCTTTTATTATTGTAATGCTAGAAGCATAAGAAGTAAAATGGATGACCTTAAAGCACTGGTCAGAACAGATGATTTTGATAATAATGGAAATAACTGAAACCTGGCCAAATAATGACATTCATGATGAACGGAATTTGAAATACGGGGTAATAGGTTGTTTAATAGGGATAGAGTAATAAAAAGAAAGGGAGAAGCGGCTTTATATATAAAATGTCAGTTACAAACTGTTGAAGTTGAGGATACTAAAGCTAATTGTAATGAGGTTGAATCTATTTGGGTTTCTTCTAGTGGTTATAAGGGGAGAAGGCTTGAGCTGGAATGTGTTACAGACCACCTAACTGATGAAATTAAAGAGATTTTAATTTCAGCATATAGATTGGGAAATGTCAGAGTCAAATCATGAGAGAGACAGGTTTTAGAAACTTTTCAAGGTGGTTTTTCTTAAACAATTGGTTAGGGAACCTACCAAAAATAATGCTATTTTAGATTTATTAATTTTGAATAAAGAAATGGTTGATAGGGTAGAGGTTGGGGAACATGTAGGTGCAAGTTATCATTGCTGAATTAGATTTGATGTTTCATTGCACATGGAGAATAATGAGATTTTGGTTCCAAATTTCAAAACAGCAAATTTTGAAAAAGATGAGACAAGAATTATGTGGTGTGAGTTGGGCAACTGAATTAGTTGGAGATACCGATCAAATGTGGAAAAATTCTAAAAATAAGTTCTTAAGTATTCAAAATAGGCATGTTCCTTACTGACACAAAGAATAAAACTGAAGAAAAGCATTATAAATACAAGAAGTTTAAATTCACTGCAATGATGGGATTTGGAAGACTATAAAAGGTCAAAAGAGTTGGTGAAATAGGAAATTAGGAGAAAAAAAATATTAAAAAAGGTTGGCTGAAAATGTAAAAATAACAGTAAAGATTTCTGCAAATACATTAAGGGCATGCAAAATGTTAGGATAGGAGTAGGACCTTTGAAGGATAATAATGAAGGGCTAATATATGATGATTATGTGATGACTGGATTGTTAAATTTTACCTTTTCGTCAATATTTGCTAATGAAGATTTAAGCAGTATTCCTCAACCTGAACAGTTTCTAGATGAAAACAAGGTTGAACAAGATGATCACATTATTTCTGAGCTTGTTAGGAAAACATTAGGAAGTTTAAAGAATGATAAAGCACCTGGGCCAGATAATATTTACCCAAGGGTTTTGAAAGAGATCAAGGATTGGATATAGGAGCCACTTGCTATTATTTTTTCTATGTCCTTACATAGTGGACAAGTGCCAGAAGATTGGAAGTTGGTTAATGTTACTCCTCTTTTTAAAGGAGGTGATAAAAATATTCCCAGTAATTATAAACCTATTACTTTTACATCAGTGGTGGGAAAAGTTTTTGAAAGTCTAATAAAAGATGTTTTGTAAAGTCATTTAACAAAGCTTAAAATTATGTTAGATGATCAGCATGGTTTCACTAGGAGAAAGTTTTGTCTTACTAATCTTATAACATTCTCTGAAGAGGTTCCTACTGATATAAATGAGGGTGCAGGTGTGGATATGGTGTATCTGATTTTCAAAAAGTATTTGACATAAAAGGCTTGTTAAAAACGTTATCCGTGTAAGTGTGGCGTATAGGTTGGCTCATTGGATAGAAAACTAAACGGAAGAAAGCAGAGGGTTGTTATAAATGGAGTTCAGTCAAATTGGATTACTGTCATGAGTAGCGTACCTCAGGGTTTAGTGTTAGGATGTTTTCTATTTTTGATTTACATAAATGACAAGATCAATAGATCATTTAAATTTGGTGATGACATTAAAATTTTGAGTGTTGCTAGCTGTGAAGAGGATGCTACTGCCTTACAAAAGGATTTGGATTGCTTGGCGAGTTAGGCAAATAAATGGCAAAAGCTTTGAATTATAATAAATGCAAGATAATGCATGTGAAATATAACAACTTGAAATATAAGTATAATTTTAATGTGAATAACCTTAACGGTGTTTGATAGAAAAAGATCTTGGAGTTATGGTTGATCAGTCTATTAATGAGAGAATGGCAAGACTAGGGGAAACAAATATAAAGTTTGGCAAGGAAGAAGTCATCTTCAGCTAAAATAGAACTGATAGAATAGAGGGAAGAACGGTAGTTAACAGCACCCACCCCCAAACTCTTGTATGATAGAATAGTGGGATTTGACCATCACTCTTATAACACACCCACTGACCCAAAATGTGGAGTGCATTTTAGAAGGAGCAAAAATGAGTATTTGGTAGAAGGTGGATCTCTGAGACAAAAATATGAATGCTATTGTTGAAACTGCTTTGAACTGTTACTTGATATATCTCTTTACTGATTAAACTGCTGTAATCAATGAACCAAATTTTTCAGATGAAATCATCAAAGTAGTGTGAGCTGAATAGCAATGCAATAATAGTCCATATCTATATGTAACTTAAAGTTGAAAACTAATTTCTGATTTGAAAAAATGACTGTAATTAGCAAGAAAGTGAAAACTATATAATAGATACAATAATGAAAACTGTAAACTGAATGTTAATATTAACACTAGATTAAATACAAGCAAAATAAGGCAAATAGATTGAAGATGCTCTTGAGATCTACATTCATCCTGAATAAAAATAACGTACTTTTACAATAATTATTGACTTGGTCAGTTGTGGTTTAAAAATAAATCCTGCAAGTATTACAAGTACAGCTGAAATATATAAAAATATTACTTATTGTAATTTCGTTAATTTTAAGGTTCTTCATAAAAACAACAATTAAAAAATCATTTATTTCTAAGAGCTTAGAAAAATATTTCTTATTCATAATTGCATGAAAAAAAGTACATACAGTTCACTCTTACAAATTTATGTAGAGAAAGAAGTTACACTCATGTTACTGAAAAAATGTGTGTTAGGTATCAGAAATAATAACGTTTAAATTATATAATAGAGTCAAGATCCTTTTTTATCATATATAATCAACACAGTATTTAGCTCAAGTTAATAAATTTTAATTTAAAATTACATAGCATGATGAGGGGTGAGCAATAAGAAATAGCATTTTTTCCTGAAGGTGAAATGTATTTGATTACACCTAAGAAATATAAACCAATGATGTAATGGAAATAGGTAACCAGGCATCATTTCTCAATATAGTCCTCATAAAGTACAACATATTATCTCCATTGATCTGTGAACTTAATCAAAACAGATCAGTTAAATGTTACAGATCCATCTATCCTTTTTGATCTTGTTTACTTGTTCAGTAATCTCATAATTTACTACAGTTTGTGGCCAGTTTGATTTTGGCATGTCTATAATACTTGTTTGGCCAGTTTTATAGCATGATTACACAGTGCAGTTGTGAAATGTAGGGCTTGAAACATCTAAAAAAGATGACTATCATTTGATTTGAGCTGCAGATAATCATGAAATAGATGGCTATTGAAGTGATCGAACAAAGGTTAATTACGCTAAAAAAAACTGAACTGACTTTTGAAGTTGTTCAGAAAAGAGTTATGCTAAATTTACACTGGCTTTGAATTTATCCACTATGTTATTTAAAGTAATCAGACTACCACAGAAACATGTTTCTTCTATGTTTTTTTAAATGCTTTTTGTTATATGGCTGAGGCAAGAAACTGCTGCTGTTTATGCTCCTTTGTTTTTAAAAAATGGGGTCTCCAAACACTAATATATCGAGGTTTAGGTGTACCTTCTTCACCTTTTGATATTAAGTAGTAAAGTACTGAAACATACAATTTTCAAACCCTTTTGCTTGTAATCAGCATTATTAGTGTTTATGAACTTATCATGAAGTCTTGGTGGACTAATATTATCTATTAATTTAAATTTACATTTTGAATCTGGTCTTTCCAAAAATTCCATACTGTTTTATTTCAATATTGAAATATATTTTCCTTCACATAAATTCCAAATTGGTTTGACAATACAATTCTTTTTGACACTCTGCAAGCATTGTCATTATATTTTTCTCTACAGAATACAAGAATACGAAAAAATAAAATAAATTACACATTAAAATTTTTTTTTATTTACTTCATTCGTTCAATAACAAAAAAAAATTCATTTTTTTAAGCCAAACTTTTGGTAAATACATTCTTATACTACTATTCTGCACAGTGGATCTTACTATACCTGAAATTGCAAAGTTTTGAGCTCATACTTTAAATTTTGATACATAATGATAGTTAGTATAAAATAACACCTAAAAATGTTGAGGAGATTTAAAAGTACTCAGAATCTCAAGGACTTTCAAATAATTTACTATACTTCTATAGAAGTTTTTCATTCATTTGAAATCTTCTGATTCACAGGAACATTTTACATACCTGATATCCTTTCTTCATTACACCTCGCATTTCTCGTAGCAGAAACCAAAAGTAATGTGGGCCTAGTGATTGCATAATTTTAATCAAGGTTTCTCGTGTGGTTTCTCGAATACTTTCTGATCGTGACTTTAAAAGGTTACAAGTCTTCAGAAACAATCTAAGAACAAAAACAAAATCAATTAATTTACTTCTCTTCTCCCTCCAGATACTCTTCTGATATTTAAACCTGAGCTTTCATTTATATTCTTTAGATGTAGAAAGGGTAAATGATAAACTGGTGCTGTTAATGTTAGCCTGAGCTTATCCTACACAGTTTTTACATGTAACAGACTAAATACAAATTTTAGCTTTTCTCTTAAGCTTTTGTCATAAGTTTAATCCTTTACACTTACTAGTCTGTATTAATCATTCATTTGCAAAACAGCTTTATTCTGCAGTTTGCAATAGTTTTTGTTTGTTTGTTTGAAGTTAAGCACAAAGCTACACAATGGGCTATCTGTGCTCTGCCCATCACGGGTGTCGAAACCCGGTTTCTAGCATTGTCAGTCCACAGACATACCGCTGTGCCACTGGGGGGCTGTTTGCAATAGTTTCACATACACTGATGCAGTGTTGTCTGAGAATTTCCATACATATCTGTGCAATTAAAACTTGTTAAAAGAACAGTAAGTATATTTGTATTAGACAAAACTAAAAATAGTTGTCAGTACTCTCAATTGGTAAGTAAAAAAAAATTTGGTGATTGTTTCCTACAGTACTGTAAAAATATTTTTGTAATTTGTACTTGTATGCTGTCATAGATGAATGATAAAAGCTTCTGTATGTTCTGACAATGATTCATCAGTTATTTGGTTTGGTCTGAAGATATCTGATAGCTCTAGACAAAAGGGTAACTCTACTCTATCCAAAGATTAATATCAAAATAATGTTTCTTCTATCAAACCTTTTTCAATCAGTTTGTTCATATATTTTTTCTCATGTGTTGCATTTATCACTGCAATATCTCACTATGCTACTACTGAGGCTACATTTTGTAACTTATTGGGTTGGGCCTGACTTGTTCAATCAAACCAAACATCCTATCACTTGCAGAAAACAGGAGTGTTAAAAGGCAGAGAAGGTAAGATATATTCTTGTGATTGACCTAAAGAAACATTAACAGGGCTTACAATCTATCAGCTATCCAGTGCATCCGTGCTCAATTCATCAATTATTCAGTCAGAATTTATTACTTATACAGGTTGAGACTTTGTGTTTTGGCTACTTAAGTGACTTTGCACACACCAATAGCATATGTTCTCTACCACATCATAACATTATTGAAGCCTAGTATATATCACAGTACAATGCATATATATATATGCGTGTGTGTATGCACATATATCAACATTATGTAGGTGGGGCAGTACCCAATGAGCATATCTCGCGTGGAGAATGATGCACAGTGAAACAATATTTCTGATAATTCTGAGCTTTTTTAATTTATAAAAATTGGTAAGATTTTGTTAAAGATTACAAATATTTTGTATACTAAGAATGAGATTATTTTTATCAAGTATTTCCAATAAAACTTATTTATTTATAATAGTTATTTGCACTCAAACTCTGAATTGTTCAAATGCAAGGTGATTTTCATGTTAAGTATAAAAATACTTTTTTTCCACCTTACAGATTTTAAATTTCATTTGCATAACTTCTAGAACCTTCTAAATGAATAACATAAGTTGTTTTAAGGTAAATGTTTATATTTTCTATTTTCTCTAACATATCACAAACTCTAGCTATTATTATCAACATACAATGCAATGAACTGCTTAAAAAACAAATATGTACATACCTTTTAATTTTCATCAAATAATCTTGAAACATCTTATTTTGGTTAAATTCTTACTTGCATGACTATACTTTTTCACATATAATTTATTTTCTAAGTTATATTTTCCATTCATGTCCTTTAACATTGTTATTTTGCATTGTAACACACATCCATGGCATCCCCAGCCAATATTACAGTATCACTGGTTGAGAAACTTTAACCATCTGTAGAATGGCACAATTGCTAACCCTCATGAACCAAGAGAAGAAGATTTACATTTTAAACAATTATTAATCCTTTCAAATATGCATCTTAAAACATAAATAACACATAATTAAGTAAAATATAAAACTAAAACATAAATACAATGCAACTGCCTATCTAACTAATGTATTTCTAGGGAGAAACAATGCTGAAATAGCAAGGACAAAAGCAGCAACAATGCTAATAGCGGTTTGACTAGTTCTCTATGGAATTCATTGGATTAGTTTTAAAATAACTGTTAGGGGTAACATATTTCAAAAAGTGCTCTTTCCATTGGTTATAAACATCTAGCTCAACTAAGAATAATTGGCTGAGAAATTGCAACTCTATGTGTAGAAAGTGGGTGTGGCATCTGTCAAGAGTTCAGATAATTTTATTTCTCTTTTCTCCAAACATGTCCTAAGGAGTTTGAAAGAAGGATGTTTAAACAGAGCAATTAACTTAGATTCTTTCTATATATGGAAGGTATAGTATATGTCAAGTCATATTCAAGCTACAAAGTACAAACGTAAAAATTTATGTAGTTGTGTGTGAAACTGAAGTTTAATAACTTTTCTTTAAGGTTTCTTTTGAAACTTTGAACTTTAATTAAACATGTGCAGTACAGGGGTGCCCATAATCATAGAGTTAAAGATACTTTCAAATGAAGTATTTATTAGTATATATATATATATATACACACATACACGTAATTTACCATGTATTTACAAATGATTGTGCATTATATATATAATACAGCAAAAATTTACAAAAGATACATACATAATATTTAAAGTATTAGAAAACCTCTTTTAAATGCCTTCTGGAATGACTTGAGCTCAAATTTCATAAAGCTAGTATAACGTTTTTTGAAGAAATTACCCATATATAGGTATGAATATACTAATTAATATTTTTAATTAAAAATCATGTATAGTATATAGTAAATCCTGAAACGTATAGTATTTTTGGATAAATAGTTTAAAACGAAAATATCTTAAGTATTTCAGGCATTACATTAAAAAAAACAACAACGTAATTTCACACAAGAACCTGAGTTGATACAAATAATTTTTCTTTTGTAATTACATTAATTTGTGATTTAATTTATACTAAACTGATTTCATAAAGACCCCTTTATTGATTTCAATAGAAAGTAAGAAACTGACAGTTTTTCTATAAAAAACCTACCTTCAAAATTATTACATGGAAAAACAAAAGTGAAAGGCAATGGTAAACAAAAGTTTCTGTTAAGCTACAACCATAAAACTTCATGGTTTAATTACAAGTGACTATTTACACACAAATGTTATGACAAATAGCTATGTAGATGTGTGTTTTGAATGAAACAAAACATTACTAATTGTGTTTTTAGAATAATTCAAGCCAACAATGATGATTTCTATATTTATGACATGTTCAATCAAAGACTGTATTTATTACCATTGTTGTTTAGATCGTCTAAAAGCACCAAATCTATAGTTTTAGAAGATGAGCCACCTTACCTTTACAAATAAAACTTTTTAAGCTCAAAGTTATTAAAAACAGTTAATTTCCTAGTTGATTCACAATTAATTCAAATGCAGTCATAAGAGAAAAATTTTGCAAATGAATAATTTTAACTTTCTCTCTCTCTATTAATTTTTGTAAGATATCAAGATATATAATGTATCCTCCTCTTGCTTGAGTGAATTCAGTTAGCAGGTAGTCAAGAAAAATGGTAATCAGGTGGCATTTTGATCCACTTTCATGTATCTTTGTGAAAATGGATCAAAACATTATCTCACTACCAGTTCATCGAGAAGGTTGTACATTTGAACAACATTTTTTTTTAAAAGTTACTTATAAGCATAAGCAATCTAAATGCTGAGTATATTTTAACTAAATAGAAATGATATATTTATCAAAGACAAATACTAACCCTGGAAGATTCTGTTCTAGCATTCCATGAGGTAATGCTTGTAATAATTTGACCATAGCAATGGCTATTGGAACTCTCAATATTTCCTCATCTTCTGGGTACGAGCGTCCAGCCAGCTTATGTTCCTCATCACTACGAGTCTGTTTAGTAAATATGCTAGATTATATATATAGTTAACGCACAACAATTACCACACCAAATTTAAAAATTTTCAATTACAATCTAGTTTAAGTATATGGTCATATAGCAATGAACTAGTCTTTCACTCCAAAGACCAATATGATACTGAAAAAAACAAGTTTAATCTGTGAAGTTTTAAATTTGATAACACTTCCTATTCATTTATCATTAAAAAATAGTAGAAGTGGAATCCATGTTAAGAAGAAATCTTAGCATTTAGTTGATTTTTTGCAGAGCAGATTTATAAATAATTCTTAAATGTTCATCCCTAGATGCATTTACATAGACACTCCATAATACTGATGTATATAAAAACAATAGACCAATTTTAAATTCTAATTCTATCAAACATATGTTTATTTTCATTTGAATGAAAAATAGTCACTAACTTCGAAACTTAAAAGTTTAAAACCAATGTATTTTTCATCCAATATAAACTTGATAAATGTTTTTGACAAAAGAATACCAGTTTGGCTTTAACACTGAACATGAATACGATAAGTCATACATATTATAATGCTCATTTGTTATCACTGACCACAATTAACTCTCCAGTCCATCCATTAATTCTTTCTCAATGGCTATCCCTTTAAACAGTTTTCTGCACAAGTTACTGAGTTGCATTCGAAATTTAATTAAACAACTTTACTATTAATGAATGTGAATGAAATTAACATTGTAATGTATATCGTGATTCTAAGTTTTATGCTATCTAAGTTTTAGTTCCTTTATTTAAAAAAAAACTTTAACAAATACTTATACTTCAGTTTTGTGTTCTTATGTGACCCACGATCTATGACAAATATCAACTTTCACACTTCCCATCATGACTCAGATAATGCTAATCCTATAGATCTATGTCTAGACAATTAAATACGTTAATATGCCTTATTGACACGTATGTTTCAAAGTTCTCTTGCTGAGTGGTGTAGAAACAAGTAATAAATTTTGTCATCCCCTGATGGGTGCTATGCCCATCTTCTATACTTTTGCTTGAGCTTGATAACATACATGTAGTTGCTACATATACATGTTTATAATCAATAGAAAGAGCTCATTTTATGCTATAAGCCAACAATGGTTATTTTGAAATCGACACACATGTCATTATTTGGTACATGTAACTGCCTCTAGTATTGTTGTCTGCTTGATCCCAATAGCACTTACAGTTTTTCTTAGCTAAGCATGTTATAGTTAGAGAGACAGTTAAATTGTATTAGTTATGTTTTAAAATACATAATTTAAAGGTTTAAACATTTTTTAAATATACATCATATTTTGCATCAGTTCTCAATACTTAAGATCTTGTGATCAGGGAAGATAATTTTGCTGAAGGCTTATGCATCTCTATTGAAGATACTGTACTTACACCCCAAGAGCACTGTTGACTTGTGCTGAGATGAGTAATGAAAGGTAAAGAACAGGAAAAAAAATAAAATATTAATATTAACTATATGTGAAAAGAAAAAGATTGAAATTACGAATATAACTAAAAGAAGACCTTTTGAGATAGCTACGACACATTAAAAGATATGTAAATTTTTTCTATTTCTTAATTTTAATAATTTTATTGCGCTGTATGCTGATGATAATATCTACAGTTAGTGATATCATAGAGAAAATGAAAAATAAATTATAAACATTTACCTTAAAAAACTTTTGATATTCATTTGGGAGGTTCTAGATATTAATCAAATGAAATATGAAAACTACAAGATGAAGAAAATTATTTTTACACTTAAAATTAAAACAACCTGGCACTCAAACTATTAAGAATTTGAGTGCAAAAACTACAATAAATAAGATATTTTAGTAGAAACACATAATTAAAATAATTTCATTTTTTGTGTACAAGAAAGATACTTATAATCTATAACAAAATCTTACCAGTTTTTGTGAGGATATGTTAAGAAATCTCAGAGTTACAGTACGTATTGCTGCGCAAGTGAAATTCCCATACAGCCCCCTGGAAATTGTAGGTACCCATGCCAAAAGGGTTAATAAGCCAAATGTATGAGTTTTGATGTTTTTCATCAGGTATCAATGTTATTTTTAAAGCAGATATAAAACAGCTTCCCTTTTCTATGGACGTAGCTAGTATAATATTAATTTGTATATTTTAGTCTTTACTTTTTGCAAAAATAAGTTTTACTATTACTATTTTTAAAGAAATAATACTTTAATTGTTTTTACTAGTTTAAACATTCTACAATAATACCACTGATGAGTTATTAAAAATCAGGACAGTATACGTACTGCTGAAGCTGGATAGTTATCTTGTAACAAGTTTTGCATCAAAATATTGTTTGCAATTAAGAACTAAGAAAAGTAATCAAATGAAATATAATAAACTGCTTTAGAAATAAAAACCAAAAACATTCTCCCTATTATTTTATAGATATCATGACTGCACAATAATACTTCTTAGTAGTTACTGTACTTTTTGTGTCAAACAACGATGAAGTTGAGGCAACAAACTCCTAGCAATACTGTGGTGAATTTTAGTAGCCATTTCTTCATCCATGAGTTCTTTTTGAAATTCAGTCACTTGGTTACTTTCTTTGTTACCAGAATCAGTTTCTTGTGTGGGAGGTATAGCAGTATGAGAATCTAGATATAAAAAACAAAAACATAATCAGTACTAGTTAAAGCACTAATATATAAAGCGAGTCCCTTCCCATTAACGTTTCAAATTATTATGATGACATTTTACATCAAACAACTTGCCTGTTTGTCTAATTCTTGATTATTTCATTAACTAACAACAAATATTCTATCAATTTATTAGGCATATAATAATATACTTCATAAAATTGCAATATAAGAATATTATGCTATAGATATATCAAAATTATTTTGATACTTGGAATTCTTCCAATAGCCAAATAGTACATAAAGACTTAATACGTGAACTCAAAAAGGATATTTGACATGAATTTATTATCTTTATAATCTCCTATTAATAAATACATTCTTTGAAATTAACTAGTAGATACAGCTTTCTCAAACATTATTAAATACATGAAAGTATATTTAAATATTGGACATAATACAGTATGTCTTGTGTTAATAAAATTTATACCACAAATTAAATTTTCACTTAGTTTTCTTTCTGTAACTGAAGCAGAAATTTGTTGTTTTGAAATTAATACTTTAAAACAAAAGAGTTCACAGACAGCTATATATGAAAATAACTCACGTAATTTGTTAAAAATATAGAAAAAATTAAGATTAGTAAAAAATCCTTTAAAAGAAATTATACCATCATCTGCTGTTTCAGCATTTTGGTTTTTGTCTTCTTTAATTTCTATCTTCAGTTCAGCATCCAGTCCACGGGAATGGGATAAGTCAAAGTGAAAAGCATTCAAAATAGCAACAATGACCCTGGTAAGAAAATATATATATAATGCAAAATGGATACTGTGTAAAAACCATACAGGTTGTCATAAATTGTGTTTGGAATTTTTTTAACAAAAGTTTGCATTTTTCTACACAATGAGCAGCACAAAGAGCTTTTATCCAATTAATTTCAAACATCTCATTTCAAGCATATTGACAAAAAACATCCATAAATGCTCTATGAAATCATCAATGAACATCTTAATTTATATGGAAATTTACAAATAATCACAATTGAACAGAGTTGTTTAAACATTTGTTTAACAACAAGTAAAAACTTGGAATGGTCTATTCTTTCATGATAGGTTTCTTTTTTGTGAGTGTAAACACTTAAAAACACCATTTCAATTTTCAATACCTCACTGCTATAAAGGCTTGGTTTGGTATGAAGTTTCATTCAGGTGGTAGTGTCCAGGGTCACTG